CCAGAGGCTCAAATACCCTATAACTCACATTTGTTTCACAAAATTGACTAAATCAGAATCTGACCCACTTCTCATGCAGCTCTGTCCAGGCGAGCTGACATGCCTCATCTTTGAAGAGGGGATTGGATTGGTAAAAAACAATTACTTGGGTCATTCCAGCTTTGCATGTGTTAAAAGCTGAGACAGGAATGCATGTAGCTTTCAATGAGAAAGAGAACTTTAGCCCTAAAGTCCAATTTCCTGTGGCGTCACAAAATGTACTCACAGAAAACTCATTTAAGAAATACCCACCTACCTCCCACTCTCTTCCAATCATGAACCCCGTTCCTACTGTGGTTTCCCATAAATACCAGGCAAAAAGTAGTCTTGATTGGGAAAGAATGCACCGCTTTTCACTTATTACAACTGGGGATGTGTTCAAGACTCGAGATACCTACTGACCCTCCAAAACCGTAGTTAGATCTATACTCAGCTGCAATAAGTTTGGTAATTCTCAGTCTTGGACACTTGCATCGACAGCTTATCACTACCCCTTCCATGAGGGGACCCATTGATCTTTTTTCCTTTATATCAACTGCCTCCATGAAGCATTGCCTTCTCGCCTCTCACTCTCTGCTTTTACACACACACGCGAGCGCACTCACTCTATTTTCTCCATACAGGTTCTCCACATCCTAGCTACTCTCTCATTCATGGCTCTCCTTCCCTTGTTTATTCTCATTCTTATGGCTCCTTCCTCTAGTAATGCTCAATGGCCACCTTCACCTGGCTACTGGCCAAGTTCTAGATTCAGGTCAATGAGCTTTTCCGAAGGTTACAGAAACCTTTGGGGTTATTCCCATCAAAGAGTAGACCCGAATGCATTGACTATCTGGCTAGATAGTACATCAGGTTAACCCGACTCGTGACATTACCTGCTGTCTTGATTAATTTTTGCTAGGTGGTATCTAATAAGCTTTCTGCTCATTTTCCTTATTTGTTGGCTTTGATCTCTGCAACAGGAAGTGGATTTAAATCAGTCAAACCATTTCGATCAGGGTATTTCGGTGCCTCCGTTAAGCTCCAACCTGGTTACACTGCCGGAGTCATAACAGCTTTCTATGTGAGCAATGAACTTTACTGTGCTACAATCTCTGTTTTTTTTTTTTTAATTTATACAGTTGGTCTGTAAGAATGTTATGGCATCAATTATGTCTAATTAATATATCTGTAATTAACCAATGGCAGCTATCGAACAACGAAGCTCACCCTGGGTTCCATGATGAAGTGGACATAGAATTTCTTGGGACAACATTTGGGAAGCCTTACACTTTGCAGACCAACGTTTACATCCGAGGAAGTGGGGATGGGAGAATAATTGGGAGAGAAATGAAGTTTCATCTGTGGTTTGATCCGACCAAAAACTTCCACCATTATGCCATTCTTTGGAGTCCTAAGGAGATTATGTAAGCTAATTAGCGCAGCGATCACCACCAATAATTTACACTTTAACAAACTAACAAAAAATCTCCTGGTTAATTACTTAGTAAAAATTAATTAACCAGAAGATGAGAGCTAGCAATAATGGTGATTTTCTCTCTGGCATGCATTTAGCAGTAGCGTACATTCAATTCAATAAGGAGCATATTTGCTATGTTTTTTACCTAGAAAATCATGGAGAAAAATATCTGGAATTAAGTGCGGGCCAAAATGACTTGATACAAGCAAATTTTAATCCCATTAGCGTGGTGGGTTTTCTATAAAAATTAAAGAAGATTAACTAAATCTATAAGCTTAATAGAAAACGAAAATGTCACGTCGCATATATTTCCAGTTATAAATCTAAAGTAGTGGTGGTTCCTCGTGGTTATATATATTTTTCAAATATTCAATGTTTCAGATTCCTCGTGGACGATGTGCCCATAAGGAGGTACCCGAGGAAAAGCGCCGCAACCTTTCCCCTCAGGCCAATGTGGGTTTACGGTTCAATCTGGGATGCCTCATCTTGGGCTACTGAGGAGGGAAAATACAAAGCTGACTATAGATATCAACCATTTGTTGCTAGCTACACCAACTTCAAAGCAGCTGGCTGCTCAGCCTATTCACCGGCATGGTGCCGCCCGGTCTCTGCCTCTCCATTCCGGTCCGGTGGGCTCACGAGACAACAGCATAGAACAATGCGATGGGTTCAGAGATACCATATGGTGTACAACTACTGCAAGGACTCCAAAAGAGACCATTCCCTAACTCCTGAGTGCTGGCGTTAAAAGTGACTCCATGTAACATGGACACGCCTTGCCCGCCCTGCATAGGAAAATGGAAGTCACTTGAGAGTTATTAAAAAAAAAAAAACTCTCTTTAACTTGTACTGTGATTTCAGATTTTTTGTCTATTATTTACGTCTTGAGATGGGTCCCCTCTTGCAAAAAGCATAATGCAATGCACGAGTAGTCGGGCGTCCAAGGCTCCCAAATTGGAAAAATTGTGTGGATTCTTCTTCTATTTTTTTTTCTTTTTTGTTGGACTCGTTGAATTTGCTGTAAATTAATAATCATGGCTAGAGAAACACGAGATCTGAGGAAAATAAATGGAAATGGGGCCGGAAGGTATAGGGGTCGTGAATATTTAACATATGCGGGCTTTCTTTCTTTCTTTCACTGCCATTTCATTTCTGAATAAAGCAAATGTCTTCTTGTCGTGTCCTTTTTTTTGTTATGGTATTAGTATTAGGGTTCTTTTTTTTATTATTATTATTATCTCTAACGATGTTTTAGCAAAATAGCAAAGAAGAAGAAAATCCTAGAAAAATAGCATAGTTTAGGTGAAAACACGAATGAATTTCACGTTTTTGAATTAGGAAGAAGAATCTCATCCGTATCTTTAATCTCGAATACAAGCTCTAAATTGCCATAACTTTAAATTAACTCTAAATATAAGTCCTAGATTACCCAACGTCCAAGTACAAAACGCAAATATGTCGATTACAACGTCCAAGTACAAAACGCAAATATGTCATGTTATTAGTATTAGGGTTGGTGTTTTTATTTTACCTATAAACTTAATTTTTAATTTTTTTATTTAAAATATTTATAAAATATCTTGATATATCTGTATATAGACTCAAATAATTAGAAGTAGGTCTATAAATTTAAAATCAACCTGAAATAAAAAAAAAAATTCTTGAGTTTAGATATATCATTTTTAGTTACGGGTAGATCAAAATTATCTTGATGAAATCTTTTTTCTCCCAGACTAGGAATTGCTCATCATCTATAATTCACAGTTGAGGGCTCTTTCGTGCAGCTAGCAGGGCATGGGGGCCAAGCAATCACGCAAACAAATTGTTCACAAAACAAAAGCATGACAACACAACACAACACTATCAACCGGAAACATGATTGGAAAGAGACATATTTCTCTCAATTATAGATCAAAATGAATGAGATTTTGAAGCTTTTGGAATGGGGTTAGCGATGCTCTGGCAACAATAATGCTAAAGTGTATAAAGTTCATGGTGCTCGGATGAAACCAAATGCGATCTATATTAGCTTTAAGATAGATTTAATAGTATAGAATGTCTCTAAACAGAAATCTATGGTTAAAGCAAAGGTCCAAATCATCCATCTCTCTCACCCTTTTTCTTCTTTTGGCATTTTCTGGGATTTGATTGTGAAATGTTTGGCTACAGTGGTTCTTGAGAGATAAGGCATCCAGGCAATGGAGCGCATCGAATATCTACGATGTTCATGTTGGGATCATTTATCTCATGATAGATGTCTAGTCTAGGTGTCATTCTCGCTTAAGAAGGAGGGTGGGGCTTATAACTTCAGTCATAATCCTTACTTTTTTTTTAATTAGTCTTTTGAGGATAAAATGAATAATCGATGGGAGAAATCTTGAGCCTAACCCATTCCATCCATGGAGTTCATATATATAATGGTGGGGCACGCATCATTTTTGTCTGTCATACTTGAATAATAGAGATGTCGCGTTCGATTTGTCGATGTCCTGGCAAGAACAATATTCTAATGTGGATCAAGGGTAATGACTATAGAATATTTTATTTATTAATTATTTAGCACCGGCCTCTTCATCTTCCGACCTTAGCTCAGTTGGCAGAGCGGAGGACTGTAGTTGTTTGTAGCAGACAATCCTTAGGTCGCTGGTTCGAATCCGGCAGGTCGGATTTTTTCTTTTCGTTTTTAACATTCTTTTATTTATACCTTGAAACATTATAACACTACTAACATAACCAGCTTCTTATATTATAAACGAGGGCCGAGCAAAAAAAGAGAAAAACTAAGAAAATTAAAAAAATAATAATAACTAAAAAAATCAATTAAATCAATTAATTTTTTTAAAAAAAACTAACTAATTCGATTCAGTTGCAGTTTTATAATAAAAAAAACTAAACTGAACCGAATAAAAAATAAATTAAGCAAAACCAAAAAAATCGAGCAAAATAAAAAAAAACCAAATCAACCCGGTTTGAACTGGTTTTTGTTTTAAAAACCGAATCAAACCAAAACCGATTGGTTTGACCTAGTTTAGATTTGGTTTTAGTTTTTTTCAAAAAAAATTTTGATTTGGTTATATTTTTTAATAAAAATTAAACCAAACTGAAAATAATCATCCATATTATAAATTGACATAATTTATCAAATTTATTTAGTATTTTAATTTGTTTTGCGTTTGATAGGTTTGGAAATATAGTTATTGTTATTTTTTAAAAAGTTTTTTGCCATAAAATATATTAAAATAATTTTTTTTATTTTTAAAATTATTTTTAAAATCAACATATCAAATCATCAATCCAAAACATAAAAAAAAAAATTAAATAAAAAATTAATTTTTTTAAAAACACCCACCCTCGAATGTGCTCTTAGACTTGAAACATAAATAACTCCAAACTTTTTATTTTAATATGTTAAGAACACTTTACTTTTCTTAAGAGACATGAATAGTAAACATAATCTTGCCATGATAGGCTCTCGTCTAGTTCTTGGAAGGGGATGGAATTGTACGGAACATAAATAATTTTACATCATATGCAGAGAATGTGAGAAAGTTGATGTACACAATTCAGGAATTTACAAAAACAAAATGAAGAGGAGCCGCATTGTAATGCTCCTTTTAGAGATGGCATCCTTCGAAAAAAACAATATATTACAAGAAAATCCAATGCAAGGCACAACATTAACCATCAAAGGATGATCCTGTACAACAGCTTCAGGGAGAGGGAACCCAGTTAATCAGATGATATCTTCCTACATTACAAAATTGATATCAGACTTCAACTGGACAGAAGATCGATCCAAACACAAGGGCTGATCGCCTCCTCAAAAGTTCAGACCTGCAACAAAATTCAAAACACGCGCCATAGACATGGCTAGATTAAAAGATGATATCCAATATAAGAATGTCAGAGAATGGACAAGTAAAGAAAACAGCAGAAATTTCATTCCAGAGAATAAAATAAATTGCAAATAAACGACAGTGAAAAAACCCATTATGTTCTGAAGATACAGAATAGTTCAAGTGGATAACATAAGAGCACAGACAAACACATAGGAGTAACATAACAGCCGCATGTTTAAGGCTACCTTCTCACGAGAGCTTGGTGCTGAAAAGTTGTACTGTATCCTCACTTAAGCAACCAAGTAAACCTTGGCTGTGTGTGCTTGTGTACTTCACATCATAAATACAATGCTGGTGTGATTTAAGCCGTTGAGTAGCTGTAAAAGAAGGCAACTCTTGCAATATCAATCCACAAGAAACTTCGTCCCCTGTGACAAATAGAGGCTTCTGATTCGGTCTGTCTATGATGCTAGATTTGGGCAGTCTAATACCACTGACAGTTGAACATGCAATACCCAATTTCTCATAGTTGCTGCCTACTCTCTTCAAATGAAGATGAGAACCAAGTACTCCTTGTCCAGTAACAGGGGAAGGCTTAAGTAAAGTTTGAGAAAAAACCTCGTTGGACATTTCAACTCTGGGACGATAAGAAACAACAATGTCATCACTGCTCGCACAATAAGCAAGGGATATACATACTCCTTGATTTGTTGTTTGAGGTATCAAAAATGGCCTTGATGAAAAAAAAAATGAAATCTTATTAGAACAGCCATCATCCATTAGACATTAAGAAAATATCTAAGGGAATTAAATAAAAAAAGGCATCCAAATGATAATTTTCTAACTACAGAGTGGACAATCTAAACAGATAGTGTTGTGCTGCAGAAAATTCAAATCATAAAAGCCTGAGGAAATTGTGTGATCTGAGAATTTTCTATCCGTGATTGAAAACAAGGGGGATTAGAAATGCAATATGTACCACATGAATAAAAGTTAAAACAAAAAACAATAACAAGGGAACAAATACTATTATTGACTCAATAAGATCATTAATACCAAAATAAGAGTAAAGGACAGATAAAAGACTGGGCAAATTTTTTGGGCATTGATGACTAACAAAAGCAAACCAAACCATTGGGGTAAGCTTAAGACATACTAATAGAATAAGGAATGGGGATATTAAGTATTTTGAGATACATGTTCATAATATGACAACACTAAGGAATAAGGAATGTGAAGCGAGTGGGCACTATGGCTGAGTTGTAATTAAGCACAACTCTTTGTGACCTTTTCATCCAGGTGCATGTTTGTAATACATTCAAGTCACAAAACTATTAATGAAAAAAAGTTTTACTCTAAACCAGACATCAACACCATACACAGAAACTAATAGCACCCCACCTTTCTTCCTCACCACCAAAGTTCCATTGACACATGCCAACAGAGGAAGCAGACACCACTGTTTTGAGACCAGAAGGAAGAGTTGAGATATGTTGAAGGGACTGTACAGTATGAATTGGGTCGGTTGTGTGCCCTAATCTGGATTCTACAGGACTCCCAGTTACACGCATATCAAACACCAAAAGCGAACCGTTCTGCAAGAAAGAGAAATGAAATGCTCTGTACATGGCACCTGGAATATTATGATGAAAAAACAAACTTAATGTTCAGACCTGTAGTCCAGCATATACATAGTGTGAGCAGTTACGATCCCATGAACAAGACCAAGCAGCAGCCTGTGAAGCACAACGTCAATATTAATGAAAAATCAATAAATTACTAAAAAAATAGACCTATTAAACCTGTTACTTTATTAACAGCAGCAGCACCATACAGTCAAGGAGCAACCGACAAGTTTTGATGTGTATGCAAACAAGAGAAGGGGTCCCTTAAATAATTAATGATGTGGCATTCCTAAGTTTATTAAAATGAATTTCCAACATAACCAACTTCAAATCATCATGAAAATGACTAATTACAGAAAACTCTAGCATCAAAGGTAAATCAACGAGTATTACTGCTACAGATGTGGGGAAGGGATAACTCAAACCATGCCGGATTGGCATGAAATTTAAGTTAGGCTTGGATGAGCTCGTGACCAACTATCAAGGAAGATGGCTGGCCCGCCCTTTGGAAATATTGATCTAAGAAGTGGCCACAACCCCCTGTCCTTTGTTTTATTGAATTGAGGCACTGATCTACTAGTGCATCAAGTTTTTTATGTTTTGTAACTTCTAACCATGTTTATCAAGAAAACAAACTAGCTCTTTCTACAGTTATCTACAATTTCAGATTAACAACAACAATTGTTCGAAGCAAATCAAATAATTCATGATTTCTGTGAATCCAAATAGAAAATCTAGTTCAACAAGAAAATTTTTTTACGAAAATTTTTTTACCTTAATTTTATATTGTAAGACCTCAACAATAGCCAATCATAAAAAAAAAAATACAGATAAAAAGATTTACCGGCAAGTCATAAGAAAGGATGACATTGTTGCTCTCCATACTGATACAATCAAATTCACCAAGTTAGCTATCGAAGGGAATAGAAAAGACCAGCTACACACACAAAAAAGAAAAAAAGAAGTCAATATTACTAGTAGCACCACCTTAGAACTGACAGTTTCTTGCCTAAGGAAGCAAAAAGTGCGAGACTTCCATTAGTGGGGGATATATGCAAGTCCTTTATGATTTTTGTGCCGGGAGGAAGGAAAATGTCTTCACTTTCATGTGGAGGAATTAAGCTCATCTAGCAACAAATAAATAAGTAAACAATGAAATAAAAGAAAAATAAGCAATTGATAAGGTAAACAATACTCTGAAGCCAAATTTCAAACTGAGCCCAGAGATTTTACTTTGGTAAGCACGTGCGATCCACCCATCTTTGGTACCCTCCGCACAAGCAATAAAATTTTACCAGAAGCATCAACATCAAATAAACGTGCACCATCCACCCGCAACTCTCTCTACAATGATCAAAACCATGACAGTTAATTTAACACTGCACATGTAATTGAGGAGACGAAACTACAAAATCAACAAAAATGAAAAGTCATGTCGAAGATGGGTGAGGAATAGAATCAGTATCAAAAGACAGGAACAAAATTGAATGGCTATCATGAGATTGAATATCATAACATGAAGGAAAGGTTGTGTAACAACAGCAGAGCCAGCAATGTCATAATCATCAGAGTTGGCCCATGCTTTGGCCAAAAAGAAGACAGGATGAAACGAGTTTCAAGTTAAACTACATGCCCAAATTTTGAAAAATCTAGATAGACTTTCAAACATGTAGAACCAACATCATAGTTCAAATGATGATTTAAAATAATTCTTGAAAGCTTCATAGGGTAGAAAGACCAACATGTTGAGTTCAGAAAATTAAACATTTCAAAACAATGGAAAAGAAAAGTAGTATAAACAACTCTCAACTTACAAAAGATCTCTACAATAAAAGCAAAAGAATGCAAAAGACACACTTACAAAAAACAAGCCAGTGTAAGAATATTATAAAGCAGAAGTGAATGAGGGTACCCAGGCACACAAGGAAACTTCAACTGGCAATTTGCTTTGCCATGCTAGAGATACAATCAGATGAACCATAGGTACAAACATTGATATCATTGCAACAAATTTAAATAAAAGTAAAATTAATAGTACACTAAATTTCAGTACTGGGGATGGGGCTCATATACCAGTACTTTTCAATAACAACCCATATTATTTGACCAGAAAAAAGATACAAATAAAATATTAAAAAAAAAACATAACTTTTAGAAAACAATGGCTTCATAAAGAATCACAAATCATTCTTTTCTTTTTTCTTTTCTCTTCTTTTTTTTCGGGTGGGTGGGGGGGGGTTGGCAGGATTACTATTTTTCTATCTATCCAAGCTTATTCACCATAGCTTTTAAATTGAATGTTTGTGTGTGCACGTGAAAAATAGAAATTGAAACCATGGCAAAAGTTAATAAGACACCAGGTTCACAACTGACAAGCATGCATCTCTTATTGAGAAAGTTAGGATAAAATATAGAGAGGCTTAGCATTGAAACCATGAAAAAGTCAATAAGACACCAGGTTCCCAACGGACAAGCATGCATCTCTTATTAAGAAAGTATAAAATATAGAGAGGCTTAGTACCTAGTGTTGAAATGTAAATCTTACTTTTTTTAAAAAAATTCTAACTGTTATGGGCCATAGAAGAGAGAACCAAAGTGTAAGGGAAAGCAAGTATTGCCGCACCTGTAACATGAAGCAGCTTGAAGATCCCTGCCGGTAGACATCAGAGTAGATGCTATTTCCTAAAACATACACAATAGAAAGAGAAAAAATTCACAATGTTCAGCGGGAAGCAAAGTGACATGATTTCTGTCCTTAATAATAGCCTTATGAAGAAACTGATAAGAAGTAAATGATATATATATATATATATATATAGAAGGAACAAGAAGACGAAGGAAAAAAGGCATTCACTGCATAAAAAAATTGCTCAAAATATCCTCTAAAGGTGAACATAATGGTGATCCTAAATTAATACTCAAAAAAGATTATTTTTCTAAATTGAAGATACTCACAAGCAATGCATGAAACATGTGAAAGTTAAATGTGAAAAGATGCTTACCAAATTCATGTCCTTGAGAGCCCCTATAGGCAGTGGCAAGTCCAGACGGCCTGCTCTGCAAATCTCCTAATAAATGCTCCAAATAAATTGTCCTCTACAAACAAAAAAGTTTAAACTGAAAAAATAAAATAAAGAATAACAGGCCAAAGAGAGATCCAAAACAGACATATCCTTTCACCCATAAAACTCAATGAGGTTGAATTTTTATACTTCAGTTTTCTTCCAATTACATAAACATAGATTATAACTTCAACCAAATTCAAAACTTTGTTTATTTCTCTTCATCAATTAAATTAAGACAGATATAGTTTCCAAACTTAGTTTCTATATCTTAAAAATTATTTTGACCACTAGTTCGTAACTCTTGATAAAAATGCAAAACCTCTGTTAACAGAAATACTAAACAAGTGCCCAGCTAACTTGAAAAGTGGCCAACACACAAGAAATAACTCGTGGACACAAGCATAAATTGTTTTAGCTTGAAAAAGGAACAGAAAGAGTAGCAAAGATAATGATCAACAGCTAAATACAAGGGGCATCCATTCGAGTCAAACTATGGCCAGTAACAAAAAACAAAGGGGAGATTCAAAATGTGATTTTCACAACATGGAAAACAAGTTCTATTGCTTATGAAACTTGTGTAAGGATGCGATCAAAAAGGTAAACATAATTAACACCTATAACCATACCTCTTTACACTTTTGAACTTCAAGCTGCAATGCAGCTTCTCTCCTTTTCCATTCAGATTCTTTCTTGCACAAATCCACACCCTACAAATAGAAGCAGAAAACTAACACTAACTGTAGAAAACAAACTATCTTTTCTTTCCTCTTTATCTTTTCTACCTGGTAAAAAACATACCTTCTTTACCAGAGAAGCACATTTTTCTTCAAGAAATCGAATTCTCTGCGAACAAAAAGTAAAATCCATTATTAACCTAATAAATTTCTCCAAAACAGAAACACCCATCAAACTTATCAATACCTTCTGTGATTCTTCATCAACAACAGCAATCCTCGGCACAAACAATTTCCTAATATCCCTCAATGTACCTTTTCTATTACATTGAGGACACTAAAATGACCACAAAAAACATAAAAATAAAATGGTAATCCATAGAAACAGATATAAATGAGTGAATTTTGAAATCAAATCCTTGAAAACTTGAGACAAACAATTAAATACCTTGGCTAACCTTCCACGTTGCCTTAACCATTTCTCGATGCAAGAAAGACCAAACAAATGTCCACAAGGAAGGCAGCTAAACAAAAATAAATAAATAAATACTAACAAATTGAAGAAGTCAAGAAACTGAAGAAAATTAAAGTTACACAATATATATATAAAAGGCACCAGATATGATGGTCGCCTTCGTTGGTCCATGCTTCCATACAAATAGGACAAAAAAGCCCATCAAATTCACTCCGGTTCCATTGACTATTTTGAGAGCTCTCTCCATCAGCATCATCTCCTCCATTACGGCAACAAATGTCTCCTCCACTTCCTAGTTTATCTACTCTTCTTCGCTTATTTCTCTCCTCGTCCACGTCTACTTCCTCTTCCTGAAAGTTGAGATTTTCGGCTGTTGCTGCAGCTGTTGTTGTTGCTTGGTCAGAATTTAACAAAAACCTAGGAGAAGAATCCAATTCTACAACGGGAATGAAATCCTCATCCTCCTCGGAGTATTCCGATTCGGATAGTTCCAATCCTATTTCTAATAATTGCATTGCTTCGTAGTCTCGTTCGTCTGTGATGTACGGTTCTGCCATAATTCTTCAATATGAAAAAAGGAAAAGTGATTGTGCAGTATTAGCCTTGTTTTTTCCTTTCTCTTGGAGAGGGAAAGTTTAAGCGCGACTACACAAACAAATGGATTGTGCTTGATAAATGGATTGGTCAAAATAGCCGTTTCCATTTAGGAAAGGGTCGGTTTGGGAATAGGTTCGGCACCTTCAGCCTGACTAGGAGTCTAGGAGTGCTGTGATGAATACTTTTAAAAATATTTTTTATATTAAAATATTTTAAAATAATATTTTTTTTATTTTTAAAATAATTATTTCCAACATCAAAATAACTAAAAACATATAAAAACTTAATTTTTAATAAAAAATTAATTTTTTTAGAAACACTATACATATTTCCAAACGCTCCCTCCCTCAATCATGAATCTTTGTACATCTTATAATTTTAAATTACAATTTCGGTTGCGGTTGCACCTAAAGCAACCTTATCAGGTTGTTTGGAGGTTGTGATGAAACTTATATTTTATAATTTTTTAAAAATTATTTTATTTTTATTTAAAATTATTTTTTTATATTTTTTTAATAATTTTAATATATTATTATTAAAAATAATTTTTAAAAATATATATTATTATAATATATTTTCATACAAAAAATATTTTAAAAAATAACTAATATTACGCACTCACGCTCACCATTATACTTTTATCATGTATAAAAGTATTAAAATTATAATATTTTAAAAAACTAAGCACGCTCACCATTATACTTTTATTATGTATAAAAATATTAAAATTATAATATTTTAAAAAACTAAAAAAAAAAACTCAATCTTTCACTGAATATACCAGATTTGCACAGGATAATTATTGTTTTACTAACAAAAAAAAATCGGATAGAAAAGCCTTTTTAGTAAAATTTACTAATTTTTACATTTTAAATAAACACTTAATAATTTAAATATTTTTAGAAATAAGCAAATAAAACTAGAGAGAAGGGCTTTATGGTTTTTTATATTTTAAATGCATAGTAAAATCACTGTATTATTCTTGAAAATAAAAATAATAGAACTTATGTTTTAAAACATTTAAATCTTTTCAACACAATTATTTTATAATTATATTTTTAGATGCGGCAATTAAGTTATAAAAATAATTAAAAAAATGGTTTTATGGTGTAATAATAGTTGAAAGGTGTCAATGCTATTTAAGTTGTGTTTGGTATTGCAGTTGATGTTATAGTTGTGGTTTAAAAAAATTTATTTTATAACAAATATTTTTAGTTAAATTTAATTTGAAAAATATATTTTTGATTAAAACTATGATTAAAATTAAAATTGAACAGAAAATAGTTTAATAGATTTGGTTAAAAAAATACTTTTTAAATTAAGGTTATAAAATAATATATATATATATATATTAATAATTTTTAATTTAAATATTATAGATTTAACTTATGTTATTACATCATGAAATAAATAACATTGATATCAAATATTTTTTATTATTTCATTAAATTATATGCAATGTCATTACATACGAAATCTATCCAATAATTAAATACTAATTTTTCAAGTAAAACACAATGTTTTTTAAAAAATTTACAATTTCATTACATACAAAAGTCATTCAACAAGAACTACAGTTTACATGATTTTTTGAAATTAGGTAAAATATTATCAGGAATAAAATTGAGATTACAGTACGAGTAAATTTAATTTACCTTAAACTAATTTCAAAAAACAAAAAAAAATATTTCTCACTGTTAATTACACTAATTTTTTGGAAAAAAAACTTTTCTTATTATTTTTCATAAAAAACTGAACAGTACGGCAATATAGCATGGCTCCACTGTTCCTTATAACTGTCTACTAGAAGTAGCAAAATGCTGTTTTTCCATTCCTACAGCTGAACAGAAAAAATTAGTGGGTCTTATCAAACAAAATTAGTTTTGCTTGCTTTATCAAACACTAATATATGGTGGCTGCAAATAAACCTTACCAGAGCCGCACTACCAAAAGCGTCTTAGATGATATATATGATGTCATCCAATGATCAAATATTAATGTTATCAGAGCTAAAAACAATAAGTTATTCTTTTGTAGTGATAAGATATATGTTCATGAAGAAGATGCAATTGAGCTTCAATAAAAATTTTTATTTTTTATTTTTTTTTGCCTAGATGCTCATGTAAACTCTTTTAAAAATCAATTTTGTCAACCCATTTATGTTTCAATTAATTTTGATTTTTATTATTATTTACATTATTTTTAATATTTTTTTTAACTTTATTTTTTTTTCAAATTTATCCTCAAATATTTTATTTTATTTTGATCTTTAATCTTTTAATTGCTTTTTTTTTTTCAATTTCATCTTAATCATTTTATATATTTTTTTAATTTTTTTCTTAATATTTTAACTGTTATTTTTTTTAATTTTTTTTAATTTATTTTAATTTCTCATATCACATGTCACGTGTTTATCTAGTTAGTCTGAGTTGATTTGAGTTTTTTTTATATTTATTTAATTTGATTTTTTTATTTCTTTGATATTAATTTATTAAGTCTTGAACTTCATAATTTTTTCTATATTTTTTTACATAGATTTATCCAAATCTCATATTATAGGTCTTATTTTTTTATATTTTTTTATAAAATTAATTTTTTATTTTATCATTTAAAATTATATTATTAAGCCTTGAAAGGTTAAAAACATTCTATTTTATTTTTTAAAAAATAGCGTGAAAAAGAAAAACTTCAAACTTGTTATTCAAATACAATACTCCTCATACATAAAACTAAAATATAGTTTTTTATTTTTCATAATTTATACTAAATTTGAAAAATATATTTTTTATAATTTTCTAATGCAAGTATTTCACTGTTTTCCAAATGAAAAAAAAAACATGAACAGTATTATATATATATATATATATACAAGCATTAACAATGTGAAATATTTTTTTTATATTTTCATATTTATTTAGTATTATAAATATTTGTTTTATAAATATATTTTTTTATAATTGTTAATTTCATTGAAATAAAATTAATATTCAATTATCACAATATAAAATATTAAGATAAATAATATAAATTATGATTTTATTTTTTCTGTAAACAATAGTTGTAATCTTCATGTATTTTTTTTTATCTTTTTATGAAAAAAAATTGAAAAAGAAAAATTAAATTGTTTTGTTACCAAACAACCTTATGTGTAGGCATAAAAGACCGATCAAGGCGTCCTTACGTTTGAAAAAACACAGTCCTTATGTGTAGGCATAAAAGACCCAAGGCGTCCTTACGTTTGAAAAAACACAGAAGGAATCGGTGGACAGAAACGACAAGTCGTTGTCCATTAATAATAAACTACGCAGAGTATAACATGGGCATAAAAACATAAAGCCATTTTACTTCAACTTTCTTGGTCTCTTTGCTCGATTGCTCCAGCAGACAAGCAAGGAAAAAAAAGTGAGGAGGTTGCAGCAGGCCATGTCTCGTGGCATATCATACATAACTGGGTCTCAACTTCTGTCTCTTAGGCGCCTTCCAAATATTGCAATTATTGATGTCAGGTAAAAAGAAAATCTTCCTCGATGTTTCCTTTTTATACTGTAGAATTTGTAGTTATCGAAGTGAAGTTTTGTTTTTAATTGTTATTAACGGGGATTTTGAAGGGATGACGAGAGGAGTTTTGATGGACATATAGCAGGGTCTCTGCACTACGCGAGCGATACGTTCACAGATAGGATCTCTAATCTTATTCAAGAGGTTAAAGGGAAAGATACCCTTGTTTTCCATTGCGCTTTAAGCCAGGTTTTTGCCTCTCTCTCTTTACTTCCGTGGTTCTTTCCATTTGTTTTATGTTTTCTGGGTTTCTATTTCTTAATAGTTTCTTAAAGAATTTGGCGAGTGAGTTTTGTATAAACCCTTTAGCTGTAACAAAGTTCCAAGTTTCTAGGCTTGAACATGGCGATCAAATATTTTTTGTTAATTAACTAGTCATTTTTTATTTTGTTGTGAAATTTACCCACAAGTAAACAATTTGTGTTCTATAATTATCTCGAAATATTTACAAGTTATTCTTCATTTTAGTCCTGGTCAATCAATACCCTGAACATTTTCCAGTGATCATGAATGTTTGTTATGGATATATAGATGAGATCAGCTCTGCGTGCTTGCCAGGTAATTTGTCTATGAGTTTGAGTGAGGACAACAGGAATTGCTGTTAATGTTATTAATGGTTCAAAGATAATCATTTGTCAACTAACTTTCCAAGATGGTTTCTTAAGAAGCATCTGGAATCAACTGAAGGAGGTTTTAAAAATATACATGCTCCTTGGGTTAATAAGACAGGCATTGAGTTATTCTTAAACAAGATGCAAAAGGGAGAGAAATGGGAAGAGGTTCTCAAAAAAATTAAAATAAATCATGTAGCCAAGTGGAAGGCAGTATATTAGTTGGGGTAAAGGACTTGGAATACAAGGCAATAACAACCTGTATATCCACCATCTACCCTAGAAACATGTGTTTGAAGGTGTCATTATGCTTGGAAGTTGGCAGGGTTTCTTTGTGAGAAAATGGATTATTTCTTGGCAGTGCTTCTCCTTTGTGGAAAAAAGTGGATCCATGCTTGAGCTTTAACCGGTTTCTGTAGCAATTCTCTGGACTTGAATGATAATGGAATTAATTGGAACTGAAAGGATGAAATGGAAGATAATAAGAATTTGGAATTCTATTGAATTGAAAGAAATTGACTCACATGGACCGAAATGAAAAGGACTAGAAATGTTTTGGGTAGATTTGAGGTAACCCGGAGCTTCAATGACCTAATTGAAAGTCTGAATATGCTTTGCCCTATCGTATTCTCCTATCTTGGAACCTTAAATAGCAGTCAAAATGAAATATGAATTTTAAATAGACTTGACTGAAAGTTTGAAAAGATCTGAGCTAATTGATAGCTTTGACTCCAGCTGTTGAAGCGCTGCTGTTTAACTAATTCCATTGCCAAGAGAAACGCTGCTGTTTGGATTTCATTTTGCTGGCTTATCTTCCACCATTCACGTGTCTACTTCATTATCATTCCTAGACCTACCTTCAAACATCTTCCTGAAAAT